AAGAAAAAAAGAAGATCAAGTAAGTATAATATAAAAATAGGGATATTTTAGGTTAGCTAAGATCAGATTAGGTAAAATAAATAATAATATAATAAAAATGTTTCATGAGCTGCACATGCCCCAAGTAATTTACAACTTACTATGGTGCAGATAGTAGTTAAGACACTGTTCAAAGGGCAATAAAACAATAAAATTTAATTATGAATAGATGTATACTGTTACAAGTTTAAAGCTACTTGGGATATACTAATGTAGTTTCATGTTACACTTTGAAATCATTCTAGAAAGAAAAAAAGGGCATTTTATATTTCTTTTTGATTTTTTTTTCTTTTTTGGTGGTTATGGGGTTGGTCAAATTGATCGATCCCATTTTGAGTTAGGGTAGAGAAAATAACAGATGAAATATTAAGTTTTACTGAAGGAAAAACATTTGAAATGAATGCACTTAGGAGGTTTTTAGGAATTACACAAAGGAAATTTGAGATGAGGAAAAGTATTTTAATCTTAACTTGAAAATTACTTTGTACACAGACTATTCAAAAGAAATACTCAATATATTTATCGACAAGTCTTTATTTTTGGTTTATTAAAAATAATTCACTAAAAATAAAATTTTTTGTATCTAAAAGACTTATGTCAACTGAAAGACTGCTAAATTTTGTGAAGATATATCTACTATATTGAAAGTTGGAAGTATTAAATCCAGGAGGTCATGTGGTTGGTCATATTGACAAACCCTGTGTTGAGAGAGTTAATTTATAACACGTGAAGCTCTTAAGTTGCTAATTAGACATACTTGGTTATTTTTTTCTTGACTATGTAACTTGTTTTGTATACAACTAGACCCAATAATCCTTGAATCTGTCTGGTAGAAAAGTGTAGTACTTTAAATATATTTCTATGACGACTTTCTTTGCATCAGATAAAAACTGTGTTTATTATACTCTAAAACAGAAGACCAGTCTGATAACCCATTTATACATCATGAATTAATAATATATTAATTTGGTGCACAAAGGAATAAAAATATTCTTCCAATATAATTATTCATTGGTATAGCAATAGAAGTAAACACTCAAATTGTGACCAAATGTATTTCTAGGGGATTGATTCTATTTTGAAAATTATGAAGTTGTGATAACATTTAGAAAACTAAAAAAATCTATTTGGCTTTATAAGTAATTTTTTTTTGTATATCAAGATTTCAATACACATACAATAAAACTTAAAACTTGAGGTTAAGTATAATGTTGTAACAAATCATCATTAAGGAAATTTCATAGAATTTACTTTACCAAATAAATCTTGAGACAGATATATAGCTAGAATCTTATTAGTATCTTTAACTTTCTCAATACAGACTCAGTCAATTTGACCAACCACGTGGCCTTTTTTGTTCTAATTTCAAATCTTTAAATATTTAATATTTATAACTCTTAATGTAGTGTGTATATCTTTATAAAATTTGGCAGTCTTTCACATACAAAAAAAAACATATTTTCATTGAAGTATTTTAAATAAAATAAAATGAAGATTTGCCCATAAATATATTAAGTATTTGTTTAGATTAGTCGGTGTGCAAAATAATTTTCATGTTAAAATTAAAAATAGTTTTCCTCATCTCAAAAAATCTCAAATTTCCTTTGTGTAATCCCTAAAACCTCATAAATGCATTTCAAACATTTTTTTTTCAGTAAAACTTTATAGTTTATCTGTTATTTTCTCTACTCTATCTCAAAATAAGATTGGTTAATTTGATTGACCTATAACCACAAAAAAAAATTGAAATAAACCTAAATTACCCCTTTTATTCTTTCTAGAATGACTTCAA